ATCATTAAATTGATACCTTATTATCGGTATATTAAGGTGTAATTAAATTGTAATTATATAATCTCGTGTGAAAAATTTCCAGCCAATTATAGTACGATTATATATTGATAGAAAGAATCTTTGAAAATAGAAGCCTGCTACATACAAGTACAAAAGCATTTTAACTTGTAAAATATCCGATCAAATTTCTCTGAAGAACAAGTTTTTAAACGTATAATTATGATTAAAATAGAATTATAGTTTGAGCAGGAATTCCTTGCCAACCACTGTCGTTACTAAACTAATTTTTTAAAGAAGGAAATCATATTTCATCTACAAGTAGGTCAGTGATCTCTTAAACTACCTATAATTTACCAGGTAATAATATGTAATTAGCAAATTGATAAGTTCCAAGTTGTGGGTTATACACTTGTCTTTTATAATTTCATAATTTTCTATCAAACAGAATATTTAGCTAACTTTACGAAATCTTAACTAAACCAACAAACAATAATAGCAATATTGGTAACTTAAAACTTGCGATTATTAAAATTTCTTTAATAATATTAATTCTATTGTATAATGGGACCCGGATCGTAGCAAAAAGTATAGAAAAATATAATATACATGTAGAAGTTTATGTGTAGAGGACGGTTGGTAGGTGAGGTTTGATGGACGAGATTGCTCGTTGTTGAAACCGTCGAATATATTTAAAATGATAAATTAATATACAGATAATGCTCGCAAAGACGCTCGTACCAACCGATTCGCTGAGACAGTGTATAAGTCGTAAAATAGGACCGCTATTGACTCGTTAATTAGATCGCTGATAATTCGTTGATAACTGATCGACAACTGACTGTAACTCTTTCCTTGCGATCGCGTCCGTTTATTTACACTGGTCGAGGGAAAACCGGAAAATTCGAATTCGTCTACGTTTGACGGTTGTATGTAGTGGTGACATTGTTTTGCCCAGAGTTTATTTGTTTTTACATTACTTGTAACCTAACGGTCTTGATACTCCGAGGCAAAACAACAACAACATGATTTGTATTATCCTGTGACTCATGTGCCGTTACATACAATATAATACAAACTATAGCAACTTCGTACTTCCACGTAACGCGGATCAGAATGCTACTTTATTTAACCAACAGGTAAACCGACCGAACCATTCTTCGACGTACACTTTTCAACCAACTATCTATCGATACCAACCACTTGTTTCAAGCAAAACATCATTCGCGAACGAGAACGAAGATTGGCAAAAAGTTAGATACACGTTGCTGTTTGCCGAGTGCCTCGATGCTGCGTGCACGAGATACATATGATAATGATAAGTTGCGCAACAGAACCGGAAAGCTTGAGGAAGAAAGGGAAAGAGAAACGGCCGGTGATGAGGGTTCGTGACTGCATACGAGCTCCCATAGGTAACACTGACACGTCGGAAAAACTAGCGGGAGATTGATGAGCCTGTAAGTGAAAGGGCCGACCCGTTGAAAAACGAGACACACCGCGAGAATTCCTTTTCCGAGTTTTGCCGGCTAAAAAGACAACCGCCACCCGTTCATCCCGAAAAACACGCCGGTGTAATTAAGCGGCGGGATAATTACGAGTCGCTGATTTCCAGCGCACCGATATTTTTCACGTCCAATTCGACCAAATAAAACTTTCCGCCTTTTACAATTAATTTCATATGTATTACGAATACGTTTGCGCGCGCGCGTGTGTGTGTGTGTGTGTGTGTGTAGCAAATTGTTAGAAGGTTACGTTTTTATCTCGTGAAGTGTATTATGTAGAGGAATAAGATCGTTCGTCTTAAACGCGTTTGCATTTCAAAAAGTATTATCTCAAATTAATGCTTATATGCTAGCTACGACGAATACGGTCTTAGAATGGTTCATCTGCAACATCAACCAGTTCTTATTCAATTTTCTACGAGTAAAGGCCTTCTGAGGCTGAGCGAACACGATACATATACATTTTCCATGTTAAATGTGAAAATGAATCGATACTATAAAAGTATAGAAGAAATAAGAGGAACAGTTTGTGATGTGTATGGTGATTTATGATGATAACATACCATTAAAAAGTGGATTAGAAGATACAATAATGGAGATTTCAACCTGGAAGATAACGAACGATGTGACAGACCACCGATGAAGATAAATGTTGATGAAATAACGACCGATGAAATATGCGATTCTTTGTTAGAACAACACGAAAACGGTGAGTACTATCACGCCTAATATATTCGCCTGATTCTGCCCTATCTGATTTTTATTTATTTCGAGCATTACTATTTATTTCAATTATTATTACTAATCATTATTATTTATTTAAAGCACGAAATAAAAATTAAAATGAAGTACTCCAAAATTAAGTAACTTAATCTAAATTTAAAAACAACGATCGAAAATTAAGCACAGAATTTATATATTATTGTGTTTCGATTGATACAATTTTTCGGTGGTTTTTTTATTTATCGAAGAATTTGTTGCTTCACGACTGGCTTGTCGCACGATTTATGTAGAATATCGTACGAAAGAGTGAAGCGTCATCAAAACTAAATCAATGATAATGCTGTGTTATTGTACGATAAGAATAAGAACAAAGATTACAAAGATAATGCAGAGGAATGTGAAGTCGACCTTACGAGATATACGTTATTTGATCTTTTCGGATATTCGCCTCGGACTAACATCGTGCGCGGTGGGATTTAATTAATCGCATCGACAATTACGAAATGTCCTTCATTACCACTCCGAGACGTGACACGACTGCACGCGCTACGCGAAAATTAGATCGCCTCGAATTTCACGGTTGCTCAAGCAAACACTGCGCGAAAGTATCAGAATCTTACGCATCCGTGACAAAATATTATGCGTGACGACTGATGACTATGTTTTCACGAAACGAGTTCATAAATGAGTGGACGCAGTACGTGAGATACGATGAATGATAGTTTTTATCTTTATGTCATATTTTTCCTTTTCAAAGAGAACTATTTGAACAAATTTTAAGCATCAACTGTTTAAAAAACTACTCGACTTTTTTCTTATCTCTTTTTATAATTAAGTTACTCCAAAAGGTATTATATATTGTAATAAGTAACTTACTCTAAAGTATCGTATATTATTAAACATATTGGGTGCGATACACCTGGCACAATATTCGAGCAAGTCCATATTAAACATATTATTTACTACACACCGCATTATAACGAACATATATTGCCAAAATAAGAAACGAACAATTTAATCAATCCCTTATATTATACAAAATGTAATAAACGTCAACTTCACAGTGGTACGACAAAATTTACCAACCATCTTTAATATTCTCACGATATGGAAAGGAATTGAGTAAAAATTCGCTTCTCGAAGGCCAATAAACATAGAATGAAATTACTCACCAAGTCAAGTAGGTCCCGCTGAGAACTGCAAACAAATCCCACATTCCGAGCCAGGCAAGTTCAGTGTTCGTTTGATATTACATAATTTTCTAACCTCAAAGCGTGACAAAGTCGACAGAAAAAGACGAAGAGATGGCACGTAAATAGCGCGGAAGAAAAACGATCGGAACGTCTCACCGTGAATCGCGATCGAACTTGACGATCTCGTTCTCGTGGCTACGGGCGATGTGAACGCGATTGCACGCTGCCGGCATCAGGAGCAAAACACAAGTCCGATACGTTAAAAACAACGAATAATACGCGAAAGGCGTTCAAATAAAACTAAAGCGGGACGAAAAAGAAATCGAGACTTGTCAAAGTTTAAATGCCTTGCTAACCGGCACACGAGAACTACCGTTATTGTGTTTGTAGATATACCACGCGTGTAAACGTAGTTGCCCTCGACCACTTACATTTAAAGGGCCCCGGTATGAAAGTTTCACTCGCGTTTCAGTCGTAAACGGAATGCGGCATCACCCGCGTGAACGCGTTTTCGAACGTTCTTACACAGAAATGACACCGAATTCGCGCACAATGTCGTTAACTTGTTGTGCATGCGTATGTATATTTTAACACTTGCTAGAGATGGGGACGACGAATTCGGTGGATGTTGTCGAAAGAAACCCAAACAAAGTTGACAGGCTGAATATGCAGCTGGCACGCGGCTGATGTACTTGGCACTTGGGAAACACAGACTCGTGACACTTGACGTCACGGCGACAATGCACGGACACGTTCCACGCGCGTCAACCAGCTGAAAAGCGCATGGGCTGGCGTTCCCTTAATGACCGAAGAAATCGAACAACGCGAATCGAAAGGCACAATGTTGCGCCACTGTTTCGCGCTGGAACGGTACGGTAGTGTTTCGTTTCGCTCCCTTCCTCACTCTCTCTCTCTCTCTCTCTTTCTCTCTCTCTCACACACACACACACACACTCTCTCTCTCACTCTCCCTCTCGTCCACCGTTCTGTCATTTGTTTACTAACCCGTGCTCGACCACTGTACGCTGATTCGCGCGTAATTGTCAATGCGCACGTACGTTCTGTCAAGCTGCATCGTCACGCGAAACGGCTGCCAGATTACAAGGGCGATTCGGTCGACGAGTCCGGACGCTCGATCACTAGCAAAACGAATCTAAATTCACGTACGAAACAAACCACCGCGCACAGCATCCACATTCCACCATAGGGAATCTACGACCGTGCAACTGCCGGGATCAAATCACATCCGCCGGCGAAAGTAGTGCCGCGCTTCGCCGAAACCACGAATCAGATGGCTTCAGGACGGCTGCGCGCTCCCAAACTAGTAAACACGGAGTCTAACATTCGTATCGTACACATTCTTGTTTTTCATCTTATCGTAGGCTTTTGTCGTTTCGTGTTGTGAGTAGTTAAACAAACTTTCACGGACTTGTAATCTTTTTATATCGTTAAAATTAATAGAAGGTATGTTAAAAACTATAAACTATAGTTGTACGTATATAGTTTTTAGTATCGCAAGTCTCTTCAAATATATCTACTTGTATGTACTGTTAAAGTAGAATTCGTTTCCAAATATGCATGTTTATACTCATAAAATTTAATATCGCTCGATTCTTATAAGTGATCGATAAAATTGTCAAATCTAGTTTGAGCAATTGAACGTCCAGAAACCGGTTGTAATTAGTGAAAGTTGAAATAGGAATGTGAAGTTTCACTTATAAGAATAAATCTCTATCGATCATTTTATAACATAATTAAAAAAAAAGCAATACGCTCTCGACGAAAAGTTAACCTTAAGAGGAAGTTTATTTTTAGATATGTATCTAATCTCATTGATTATCTGTTTGAAGTTTGAAATCTACTGTTATTGTTCGGTGTAACGAGAGTAAAAGCACTCGTGGGAAGAGGTTACCGTTCTTTCCCACGAGAAGCGATTCACTTTCGTTAATATTATTCTTTGCATTTACATTCAATAAACGTCTCACTATCAAATATATCGCGTAATTGTCACGAACAAGTAAAAGTTAGCGACAAAGTTCGTTTTAACCTACGTAGTAAAGCTGTTGCACGCAGTTACGGAAGTGGCGTCATTCCTATTCCATTATGGCGGACATTCAGCAGAGTAAACAGAGTGGCAATTACAGCAGATCGTATGTGGGTAAGTACTGCTATTATTTTTCAATATTTTATGATAATATAAGAAGGAAAATTCAAGTGATAACAACGACGATATAAAATGTGTTTAATAATCATTGAAATGTACTCTGAAAGCTCATGCGCCAGATGTAACCGCTCTCCGTTATGCCTTGTGCTCTTTTTTTGACGTTTTGTCAACTGTTTAACTACATTTCTAGCTTAATAGGACGAATATTAACGTTTTTTGTTAGTTTAATTTAATTCTGATTAAGTGGGGAATCGTTATATGTTAAAATAATGAACAATTTGTAAGAAGTGCTGCCACAAGCAATGTAAATCGTTGTTGAAAATCCTGTGTTTCTAACTTCGTGAATTACAACGTGTACGCATTGCTAACGAATATATTGCTTCGTAACTGTTGCGTCCAGACTAAATATACGCTGCAAGAGTGAAAACTTTAATGAATGTGTTAAGTAACGTTGATGGTTGTAGAGGTTAAAGTACAATCGTAAATATTTTTTATTAGTAATATATGACGATTTGATCTTTTATATCAATTACATGATAGAGTATAAACAATGTAATAGCCTGTTATGCATACATAATCATGTGTAGTAACGTGATATTCTGTCAAAGGAGGATGACGTAGCCTCAAAGCATGGCACGTATGTGCTGCCGCCTTCTGGAAAAGTTTCCAACTATGTTTCTTAAAACGAGGGAATTTCAAACTGTGCCTGTTACTGACTGCTCGTCCTTGCTTGTTATTACTCAGCAGAATTACCAGCTATTTCACTTGTTACTGCTTTGTACGATATTATTTATGCTGCGTCAACAAGCAGATATTCTCTTCAGAGTAATCTAAGCATAGTAATACTAATGATTAGGAAACCATACACAGGACAAATTTATTTTAATTTATAATAATCTTATTCTTACATTTAAATTACACGATATATTTTTTACAATTTTCAATTATTTTTCTTGTTTATTATATAATTTTACAAATTTTGTCCTAGAATTACGAATATATGTCCCATTTTATTGAACTCTTGTTAGGAAAATATTATTTACTGCAATTTTATGATGAAATGTTTCAGATATCAGACTTTCAATTATGACAAATAGTTTCGAGAACTATTTATGAATTTAAAAACTAAATAATCGCAGTAATATGATTTTTTATATTTTAAATTTTCTTCTCAATTTAATATTTTAATATTTTATTGCAAATTTTAATATAACGAAATGATATAACTTTTGAAATTACCGTGCTTTTCAAATCCCGAACTCAATTTTTGGAATACTTCTTTTAACTTTAATTCACATGACCTGATAAGCGTTCTTGCTTTATCGTTACTCATTTTTATTGCTTAATATACGCACATGTCGTTGACCGTCCACAAATTCTTCTTTATACATATAACCAGGAAGTATATTGTGGCATATATTCCTTTGAATGCAAAATATATACAATAAACTAATGTCGAAGGCAATGACCTCGAATTAATGACCGGTATATAGGGAGTGTTCGTAAAACACGAATTCAAATATTAAAAAATTCGTCCTAATATTTATTTATTTTCTTGTATATCTTCTTTTATCTACGATCACATCATTAAACATTTAATACAAATGATATTTGTTAAATATTTACAAACAACATCCGATATCATGCCGATTAGATATTTGCAAACACTTTCGTGACACGCTTTACGAATTATTTTATTATCTTCGTTGACCAATATGAAAAAATGTCGAATAGAATTTTTTTTTAACATTTCTTTGCATCTTTTCCACGTGTTCTATTTGTACATGAAATCATGCTTACGTTTCATCGTGTATAAATACACAATAACGTTAAACTGTCTATTGTACCCGCTATAAAGTTTGGGGAAAACGTTATCCCTCTGAACGAGCAGGGACCAAAGAATGGCCAAGAACGGCGATACGTTATACGAGGGAGGGCTATAACATTATTTCGCGTTAAATGAAATCCGTGACAATGAAACAGGTGGAAACAAGCAGGCCGGAGTTCGAAAGCAATTGCGTTATGCAGAGCCCCGATATTCAGGATTGGAAATGAGAGCTGTGTATTGGCATACCTATTCAGTCCGACACAGCGCGTGTTTTATTGAATTCTATCGATAGGTTTACGTGTCCAATGAAAACGGGTCTTTTCGTTTCCCTCCCATCGATAATTCAATCGATAGTTCTCTTTGCGAGGCGGCAAATACGTAATAATAATCGATGACGTGTGATTTTCCAAACTGGGTCGTGTAAATGATAAATCAACAACGAATTCTTTTTAATAGAAAGTAAACACGTAAGATAAATTATAACGAAGTATGGAATATGTAGAAAAGAAAACAGAACCACTCGTTTGATAAAAGAAGCTCATAAATAATATCAATCAATAAAAGAAGTTCATTTAGGTAAATCATTTGTTATCATTTATGATATCGTCCCGATAGCTGAATTGGTAATGAACAATAGGTGTTATTAAGCGATACGTTTTTCTCTAATCTAAATTTTCTTCATCGTTACAATTTTTATTACGAAAGTCGATCAAATTGAAAAACGTATTTCGAGTTATCACTGTGGGTTCTTTGTAACTATAAACCGAAAGTGATAAAAATATTTGATCCCATTTTATGAGTATCGCTCTCGTCGTTAGGAAATTTGATTAATAATATATTATATTATTATGTTCGAAAATAGCTTTTTTACGCGTCACTTTCCAGTTAACAACGTAGCATCATTATTAGATAGTTTATGCAAATTTATATCTTTATGTACACAGTTGAAGAAATACATACTAAATGTGGATTTCTTTCATTCTTTGCATACTTTTTTTAAATACGTAAACATCCAGCATCCAAACATCTATAGCACAATCTGGTAATTACGAAATTGCTTGAGCGAACTTTCTATATCAATTGATACGTGGAGAACGTACATAAAGAAAGTGCATTAGTATCAAACGAAATCATTTTCCATAGCCGAATAGCGCTTAGTTCCGATCGATAATTAGCGAAAGACGAGATCTGGTAACGAATGGGAACTATGTCAATTGCCAGCGAGGACCTCGCGAATCCGTTTGTCGCAATCCAATAAGACTAATACCAAGAGTTTCTCCTCTAGAGTGTACCAATACACGGCAAAGTACACGCACGCGTGCTCCACATCGCGATGGATCCATCCAATTCACTTCATTGGCCGCTCACGTATTTCCGTAGCTCGTTGATTAAACTCGCATTATTCGCTCAAGCGAGTTCGGAGACGATATCCACACTGTGCAAACCGGAGCGCGATTCCTCTGAAAAACACACAATTCCTCGTCTCCGTTTTTCTTTGTCCCTTCGTTCGACTACCGCGTCAAGGTAAACGATTGAACGTCTGTCCCGGTGGAATTGCGACTAGTCCATAAAAGATTTTTATGCGACCGGGATAACGTCGTCCAACGTTTCAAATAGCGAAACGCACATTCCCGTCGTAAAATAAAAGTGCGACCCTCGATTCTGCTCGATACGTAAGACGAGTAAACGCGTGGTCTCTCCAGACTCTGCAACGTCTCGGGCGATCTTTGCCTCTGCCTCTCGCTTTTAACCGCGAGATCACAGCGGCATTTTTCAACCGGCCATATTTTTCTTATACGCGCCGCGGTAAAGACGAGATTGAGTTAGTTAGAGAACGCAGTAAAACGCGTGTAAGGGCAGTTGCACGTGATCACTGATGTATTCTTCTACATTGCTACCAACGCACCACGAAAAATTCGTTCTCTTTCTTCTCGACTGCATCTACGAACGAACCATGTCTATTATCGAATAGGAAAATGGGACAGACCATGATATTTCGTTTTTTTTTCTTTTTTCTCATATCTTGTTCCCAACTCGTTCTTCTTCCTAGTGATCTCCCTTTCTATGTGATCGTTCACGACGATAATAAAGTTGACATTCCGATTATTCCGTAACTTTCTAGCTTCTATGAACGTAGTCACGTACAAACGACGAAGAGAAACAGGACCAGTGAATTCATCGCCTTATCGCTGATCAATTACGCAGCTTTCGCTTCGCTTTCTTATAATATCGAGGCCCTCCGTATCGCGTTCCTCGTACAAAAGCGAACAATCGAACGTTTATTGCTAATTACGCGCCACAGCTACGCTATAGAACGCTGTTACGCAAATGTCGTTCACATTTTGCTGACATTTGCGGAAGTAATCTACAAGCACGTAGGAAAGGTTCTTAATTCAACACTGTTAACCAGTTTCTTGGCCACATTGTTAACCTCAATTTCCCCAATGGCAACTCGAAGAAGCGCTGCCACCAGGGAATCTCTGTCCGATAGATGCGCTAGCCTGTTTCTTGGAAAACGCATAACCAAACAGCGCAGCATAAACTCGAAGCGAATCGTAGTTACTTGGTAGCGTACGCCGCTGGAAATATAAATAACCCATGTAGGAGATATAGCCGAGCCTGGGGAGATTAACGATAGTTCAGGTGGTTGAAGGAGGCATAATAATCCTGAGTCACTAGCCGGAATACGATCGAGCTCTCGTTTCTTCGTTCGTCTTGTCCCGTTACTCTTCCTTCTTCTTGATCCATCACGACATACACTTCGGCTTTTTCCATCCGTAAACCTCGTTTGTCGTAAAACATTTGCGTTCGTGCGGGACTAGGGATCACGCAACGAGGCGTAGAATATATAGAGCTCGGATTCCCAACCTGTGCAGCGCTGCCCCCAAGGGGGTTGCAGAATGTCTTGCCAGAAGTTATTTTTATCTACAATTATCTTTATAGAGAATATTTTCTGTAGAAATCTCCATCACGAAGACTTTCAGCATTTATTTCTTTCAATACGGGTTTCTTATAATATTATTAAATATTATTAGAATAACTATCGTAACATCGATTCTTTATAAATGAAAAGTAGTCGAATTTTCTTGTTATGTCCGAGCCTGATTTTATTTTGCTACTCCAGGTTTTTGGACAATCGCCATAAATTTTGAGAAATTCGTTAATT